CAGCATCAGCGTTCTCCATTGATTCAAGGCGAACCCCCCTGCGTTTATTTAGGTACATATTGAGGGCACTATTCAAAATATCATCTCGTTCTTCTACGGTAAAATTTGGATCATTCCCGGCTATCAATATTGCGTCTTCCATTGTCTGGTGGCTCATTTTTAAACGACGATCACTTAGTATCAGGGTTAGTATACTGAAAATCCGTTCCACAGACGAGTTTGAGCAAGAAATGCACATTATTAGTTCAACAAGAAGAAGAAGGTTCGGGAAAGTTTTTCTATAATAAACAAAAATGTTCTCCCATAGCACCGCCGTTGTAACTCCTTTATACTCTGTGTTTATTAATAATTTAAAAGCATTCCATTCAGAGAGAACCATTTCAACTTTTAATCCTGCATATTCTAAAGGAATTTTAAATTCCCTTATTAATAAAGAGATGCTAGCATCGCCGTACATATTGTCTGCTGTCCAAAATTGGGGATCCAACCAACTCATTGATTCAAACACCGTGTTTGACAACGAACTAAATCTATCGTCTATTAATGGTTTAATGATGTTGACTGCAGTTTTTCTAACTTCTATAGCAGCATTAATATTATCAAAGTTAATGTTAGTCATATCGTAAAGCTCAATGTCAACAAATTCTGCATTTGTTTTTTTTAACTCGTGGCCATCTTTGAAATAAGAAGAAACAAGAGTAGTTGTATCATCTTTGTACTTGATTCTAAATTTTAGTAAATATGAATCAAGTATATCGTCTATTGTTTCATTACTTAGTTCAACCAAGTAATCCTTAGTTAGATCTATGGCTGGTTTTACCTCGTGCACCAACAACGTTTTTTTTTCGAAAACCAATGATAACGGGCTCAATTTCTCTAAGACGTCTAAGTAACCGCAAAACATGCATAACAGTCGGTAGTCATGCAAATGAAACGGAAATTAGATTTATTTTGTTAAGCTTTCAGTAAACCATAATTCGCAGCCTAAGTGTTATAAACATTGCAGATTCAGTATTTTGAATCATTTTAAATGTATTTTAGATGGAAGTAGGGTTTAATCTGAAAAAGAATCATTTTTATCTAATATATTTGCTGAGGGGCATAATAAAATTAAAGAAAAAAAAATTTTTTTTAATGAAAAAGCTATACTAAGTGTTTTGCATAAAACATGCAAAGTTTTAAGAATATAGTTTCCATCATCTCAGATATTTTGAACTGTTAGTGATTTTCAACAATAAAAAGTTTTTTTAAATAATTATATTAACTTTAAAATGAAAAAAAGTGAAATGTTTATGTGTGTGCCTGCTAGAAGAAGTTTGATATTTAAAAACGGACAACTTTAAAATAGTTGTATAATATATAAAAGTGAAAACTATATAATATATATAGTATAAATAATATATTATATAATATTATATAAAAAAGTTGATTATTGGTTAAAATGATTGCAAATAAAGATATAATAGCTTTGTGTGACAAAGAATTTTAATAAAAAAATTTTCATTTAATCTTAAAATTGTGTAAAACTTTGCTCTAGATATTTTAATTAAATTTTCTTGTAAAATTATCTTTATTTGTCTCTAAATTTTATCTCCAAAATTTTCTTACATCTCCTTTACAGTGACTAAGATCAGTGAATGATGCAAACAGTTATTTCTTTGACACTAGATCTTTCTAGTTTCTTATTACTTATGTAAGTCTTGCTATTTGGAAGTAACTTTCTTATTTTACTTCACAGAAACTAAGATCAGGCGTTGAACACAGTTATAGTGCTTGGTATAGTGATTCAATAGTATTAGCAGCTAATGTTAGTATTTATGACCACATTTCTAATGACCTCATACAATACGAAAACAGCAAAACATAATAAAAAGATGTAAAATTGTTTTATGCAGTAGTCTAATGATGATGTATTAATATAATTAAATACATGACTTAAGTTAAAAGTGAAGTTATCGAAAAGGTTTTTTTTTTTTTTTTTTCGGCTTTTCAGGTTTTGGTTTAAAGATCGTATTAGAATCAAGTTTTGAATAGCTGTACTGAAACAAGATAAGTTTTTATTAAAACATTTTGTTATTGTTATTTTTATAGTTTTTTATGTTGTAACTATTGTACCTTTTTATTTTAGCTTTCCTACTGTTGAAATATGGTTTTAATTTAGTAAATTTTTATGATTTAAAGTTTACTTTATTGATCATAACATAACAGTTTAGAAAAGGAAATTTAACACAATTAGGGTAAGAATTTAGCTAATAACATAACAAAACCTGGTTTTACTGTAAATTATTTAATTTTATTAATATTATGGTAAACGGTAACTATAAATTGTAACCACTTTTGCATGTTGTGTAGTTTATGAATCGTCTCAATAATTTATAAATAGTCTCAATAATTTATGAATAGTCTCAATAATTTATGAATCGTCTCAATAATTTATGAATCGTCTCAATAATTTATGAATCGTCTCAATAATTTATGAACAGTCTCAATATTTGATGCTCAAATTTAAAATGCTTTACTACAAATTACTAATTTGTTTTACTTTGGTGCAACAAAATTAGTTTTGCGCACAATACGGTGTCAGTGTAGTTATTTTAAAGACAGTTATTCGACTTTATAAAAATGTAAAGTCTTGCGAAAATTCAGCTAATATACATGGAATTAGTGAATGGATAAACATCAGAAATTTTATTGGAAGTTATCTTAATTCTTAGTTGCTTTAGGTACTTTACAAGTTTTAGCTATTTCTGCAGACAATTCAATACGAATTTCGGTAGTATGAAATGAAATGTTATAACAATAAAAAGATTATCATCGAGCTAAACCCTGAAACTTTTGCATTTTTTCATACGCAATAAAAAGCTATACGTTCAGCAATCAAAAGAGTGCTTAAGTTATATTAGACACTATGGTCATTCTTTTTGGACCTATAATTCTTCCAAAGTGATATAAAACTTTTTAAATAACGAAATTATATTATTTTTTGTTTTTAGTCAAGCTAATGTTTTTTATAATATAGTGAAAGAAAAATAAAAAGTTGACATTTCTGCTACTGAATTTACCGTACTGTTAAAGGATTTGAAAGATTAAAGTAATAGGAAAATTATATTTACCTTTTATGGTAAGATAGCTTTTGCAAGTTAGCAAAGAAAGTAAACATCATTTAAAAAACTAGTTTTTGAAGAAAATAGACATTTTATACAGTCTCTGCCTAGAGCATATAGAGAAATGGACACGTCACCATAATAGGTTTTATGTTTTTAAATGGTCTTTACCTAACTGTAAAATTAAAATTGAGTTTGAAATTTAAATTATAAAAATCATAATTTTTTTGATAAAAATCATTTAAATACACATTCGATGACAATGAATTGTTTAACAAAATTCAAAGAACTAAATTATATACGAAGCAAAAGTTTTTTTCTTGGAACTTTTTATATTTAGTGTGACCACCGATGGTTTGAAGTTTTTTTCTCATTTCAAAAACAATCGCGTTCTTTACAATTAAAATTGGTGAAAGCCGCGTTATGTTAGCCATGTACAAATGCTTCCGTAGAGCGAGGAATTTTCAATTGCTAATGAGATTTGGGGGAAAGCATTGCTAATGAGATTTGGCGGAATAGTATCGAAAATTAACTGATCGAAAAAAGGATTAGTATCGAAAAATAACTGACCGAAACTCATTTTAATGATTAAGATCGAAAATGTGATTTTCAGATTAATATCGAAAAGTTTTTATTTCGAAATTCACAATATCGAAAACAATAAAAACGGAATAAGGTCGAAAACTCATTTAACTGATTAACATCGAAAATGTGATTTTCTGATTAATGTCGAAAAGTTTTTATATTGAAATTGACAAATGTGGAACAATATCGAAAACAATTAAAAAGGAATAAGATCGAAAACTCATTTTTATGATTAACATCGAAAATAAGATTTTCTGATTAATGTCGAAAACAATAAAATCAGAATAAGATCGAAAACTCATTTTAACGATTAACATTAAAAATAAGATTTTCTGGTTAATGTCGAAAACAATAAAAACGGAATAAGATCGAAAATTTTTAATTGTCAAAAATTCTTTTTAATGATTAACATCAAAAATATGATTTTATGATCACACTTTTGTTTTATAAAAAACTAGTACTAGGAAAAAATCTTAAGAAATTTTTGATACTAAGTTACTTTTCAAAAAAAAAATTATTTAAGAGTTCGATGAATATTTCGTAACTTTCACCCTAATATCGCATCAGCTTAACAAAATTAGCATTGCCTACAATGAAGAACAGCAGTTAAAATGAACAGTTAATTTGCACGCGCAACAAACAGTTTAATTTACACGTGCAATAAAATTCCGTTCGAATTAAAACTTAAAATTTAAGAAATTTTTAAGAAACTCAATATTCTAAAATGTCGTTAGAGAACTTATCAAAAAATTATTATGAAACTGAAGAAGAAAGAAAAAATTCAAATGTCTTTTGGTCTGGTGAATTTGGAAACACTAAAGATAAACTTTATAAAGACAAACTGCATCTTAAGTGTCGTTTTTTTACAAGAATGAACTGCAAAGGCAGAGCTTTTATTCATGAAGATAAACTTCAGGTTACAACTGTTCACAGTTGCAGTTCAAGAGAAACAGACTTTGAAGTGCTGCTTGCTAAAAGTACCATGAAGAAAAAAGCAGAATCCACATTTGAAGACCTGCGCTTAATTTTTCAAAACACTTTGAGTGAGTTTCCTGCAGTTGTTTCTGAATCTGTTAGTTTTCCTCAAATTATCCCAAGTCTTCAGAAAAGGAGAAGGCTAAATGAGCCTTCAAACCCAAAATCACCTAATGAAGCCGCTGAAGTTCTGAACGACAAAGAGTGCCATCGCTATGGAGACATTTTCTTGGGATCAGTTGCAGAACAGGATAACCTAGCATTGCTGTTTAGGTATATGCTAGTCATCAACAAGGCAAAATCGGCCAAAGTGTGTTTTGTTGATGGAACATTTAGGTATTTATACGTATGCATTTAACTTTTTAAAAAAAATATATGTTCTAGAAGAACATATATTTATCTAGGGGGCTGTCCATTAATTACATCAACAAACTTTTGGCTATTTTTACATTACCCCCTCCTCCATGTCAACAAATTGTTAAATTTCCAGAGACACTTCTTTCCCCTAAAAAGTTACGTCAATTTTTGATAACCCTTCTCCCCTAAATAAAAACGCTGCGCTAAAAACGCAGGCAAACTTTTCCTTTTTTGAGTAACGAAAATAAAAAAATAAAGCAACATTGTTGATGTCAACTTTACTTGACCTACTCCCCTCACCCTTAGCAAAATTTTTCAAAAAAATTCAGACACCTTCTTGCTTATTTTTTTAACGTTATTAATGGACAGCCCGTAGACGAAAAAAGTGATATATTAAAAACGTTAGATAGAACACTTTTATTTACAGTTGTAAATTATAGTTACATTTATAGTACTTCCAGCATGATACCACGCATGGAGGAAAGTAAGTGATATCAGCTCTTGCTATTTTCTGTTGAGTATTCAGCACTACTTGAAGATTCAATTCAAGATGATCCTGAATTGAATCTTCAAGTACTGCTGAATTTTGATCCTGATAACCCTCACCTTTGGGGAATATCTGTTCCACCTGTATGCGCTTTAATGAGATCGAATTCCGAGGCTCTATAAAAGCTTGTTTTTCCAATTAAAAGAAGTTTTAGATTTCTCTCCAGTCACCATTATGTCAGATTTTGAACGAGGACTACAGAATGCTTTAGAAACAACTTGGATTGAAAGCTTGGTGAATGGTTGCAGGTATAAGTTATTACTTTGTTATTACTTAGTTTCCAGTTTCTAAGTTATCCAAGTTTTTCAGAGTTTGTTATCAATTAATGATCTCCTTTAAACCTTTACCTTTAGGTTTCATTTCGAAAATGCAATCACCAAGCAATTAGCAATTCTTAGTCTTCAGAGGGAATACCGCCACCAAGTTCAAGTAAAGAAGTGGGCACGAAAAGTTTCAGCTCTTTGTCTCCTTCCTCCAAACAAGATCTTGGTTGCTTGGGGATCTTGAGTTATCGAGATTGCACAATTTAGTCGCGAAATCAAAATCAAACTTTTTGCTTTTAAAAGGTATTTTGAGAGGTATTGACTCAATATAGTGACCCCAGAAGGATTCAGTGTTTATGGCTTGAACCACAAAACCAATAACAATGCAGAGAGTCTTAATCAAACATGGGTGATCAACATACAGGATTTTGGCAGTTTATGAAATTGCTTAACCAGCATGTAATAGTCCATACAATTTAAGAGCTTCAACAGCTTGCCTGCAGTCAGCCAGTCCGCCGTGACCAACGCGACTATGGTGCAATTAAAAAAATGCGTTGTTTTGAGAAAAAACTTCGAGACGGAGTTTGTACAACTGAGAGATTCCTATCAACAGTATCATATCTCTTTCAAAACTTCAAAGTAGTGTAAGATAATTTTCCAATTTTTTGTATAATACTTCTTATTTATTAACCTTTATCAATTTTTTTACCAAACTAATTAGTTTAACTTTATTTGATTATCTTTTATTTTCCATGAAATATGGAAAGTTGTGTTTGAAATTTTTAAATATTTTTAGTGCTTTGGATGAAAACTCAATGAACGAGGTTGGTGAGAGTCTTTATTTGCCAACTTCTACTTCAACAGAGACACCGAAGTGCGTTGTTTGTACCGTCAATGAACGAAATGCATTAGTAATGCCTTGCAGACATTTTTTGTTTTGTCAGCCCAGCATTCAACAAGTTCAAAAAAGCAACACAGCTCATTGTCCCACTTGCCGAGGACCAATATCATCTATAATTCAACCTTTTCAATGATTCAGTAAAATTTTCCCTTTTATCTATATTTTAAAAACTAGAATGTCACACAATTGTTTAAATTTATTTTAAAAAATTTATTATATAAAAGCGGTATAACTTTTTTCCTATTGCTCCGCCTGGAATAAAAAATAATCAATAACGTCATTTTTCAGTTTACATAAATGACTTTCAATTCCATTAAGGTCTACAAGATTTTCCGTAATTTGGCGTATTGTATTGGTTTCAGTTGAGCAAACCCCATATCACGTTAGGATAAGTACTTAATAAGTTCCATTACCCAAGAAACAATAGTCATTTACATGTTAAAGTTATTGTATAGATAAATGTAGCATAAAATTCTACAGCTGCTTGTCTAGCAAAATTAAATAAGTTTCCTTGAAGCAAGTGACAGTACCATCAAAAGACTTATCGTGAGGGTTACTATGTTACGATTAGCACTTTCGTGTGCACAAGCGTGTTAGAAGCAGCTTTTTTACCTTATTGTCCTGAATGGGCGATTGGGCCAAGAACAATCAAAGTTCTGTAGAAGAAATTAGACCTAATATTTTTACCTATTTTCTTGTTATTTATAAATGTTAATGAATTTGTTTACCCTGACCGTTTGAAAAAACTCTATTTATCTAAAGTTAATTTTTACGGTTTAAACGAAGCTTTTATAGCTTTTGATCCAATTGCACCAAATGGGTAAACGAGGAGTGGAATTCTTACATAGGGGCCCCTAATATGAGAATGATAATTTGTAGAATTGAATGCTTTAGTAAAAAAGAAAACAATAAAAATAATTCAGCATAAGTACTTCAATGAAATTCCGTCTCGATAGCATATGAAAAATAAGTTTATTATCAAAATTTAGTGCCATAATTCCTTAAGAAAAACTCAACAAATCTTGACGCGAAATAGGCGTTATTGAGCCCAACATAGATTGTCATAACTTGGGAACCAGTTATCCAAATTTAAAAAATGAACACATTCTGAAAGCTTCTTCATTATCCGCATATAATGGTATTAATTATAATAAGAGATAATTGTAATAGTAAAATCGTGTGAAGTGCCTACTGAAAATAAAATCAATACATTTTGTTTTGAATCGTTTTATAAATAGCCAACAACACAACATTCAATATTTTTTGTTCTACTAATAGAGCTTTTGGTTTATATTATACAATTATACAGTGTAATTACTACACTTTAATAAAAAACCGCAAAAAACCGCAAAAAATTGCCGTCTATTTATTCTGCTTTTGGAATTTTCAAACCTATTATTAAAATTTACCTTTTCGGAAAGTCTTTTTTTGATTTTATTCCTTTTTTCACAGTTTCGATATAAATCCGGAAAGTCCCGTTTCGATATTGTTCCTTTTATTACAATTTCGATCTAATTCCGTTTTTTGAAATTTCGATACTATTCCTTTATTCACACTTTCGATATTGTTCCGGTAGGTCTTTTTTCAATATTATTCTCTTTTGAGCTGTTTCGAGATTATTCTGCTTTTAGGACATTCGATACTAATCCTTTTTTAACAAATTTGAAATGTTTTCTTTTTCGATATTATTCCGAAAAGTCCCTTTTCGATATTATTCCTTTTTTCACAATTTCGAGGTTATTTTATTTTTCGGATTTTCGATACAATTCCTTTTTTCACAAGTTCGATGTTATTCTCTATTTCGATGTTATTCTGGAAATTCCGTTTTTGAGATTAATCAGTTGGGCTGTTTTCGATACTGTTACTGCTACCCAGATTTAGACCGAAGGGAAATCCTAATTTACATTGAAAACTTTCGAAGCTTTTTTTCTTGTTAAATTTAATTTAAAAAAATATAACTAATCAGAAATTGTTGAAAATATTAAAAATAATTATTATTTACTGAAATGCAAAAATAGTGATTTAAAATATTTTATTAAAGCGTTGTGATATAAAAATTGTGGTTCAGGGCCGTTCCGAGCCAACTTTGCGTTTCGGACAAGAAAGGAAAATTGCGCCCCTTCCCTCCTCCCTCCCTCCTCCCAAAAATAAATAAAATTAAAAAACGATTTATTGATCTCAAAATTTATCATATCAAGTGTAAGTTACAATATGTCATGAATACTGCACAAACTTCAGTTCAAGTTCACTTTTCTAGCTTTTTTGGATGCAAGTTCACAAATGATGTCATCAAATCAAGGTTGCTACCACTTTATGTTCAATTGAAACTATAGCAAGACTAGACAAACACTTTACGTTGAAAATGAAATTATAATTAGACTGGTCCATAGTTAATCTCGTGAACTTTTTTATGAGCTTAAGTTTACTGAAACTTCTTTCACACGTAGCAACTGTGACTGTTATGGTAAGGAAGATGCGAATAGCTATTGCTGTGTTAGGATAAGCATCAGTCAATGAATATTTATAAATGAGCTACAAAATGTCAATTGAGCTAGATTTTTCAAATTTAAAAAAAGATTTTGTCTATCATTGCAGCAGCTTGATATTTAAAACTTGCCATTTCTGACTGAAAATCAGTAGAATCTAAATCTGTCGTGTAAATCTGAGATAAGTTTTTGACTTTTGTCTTATGTTTTTCCACTGAACTTTTAGATAGTTAACGCTCAAAAAGGAAGTCAAAATTAGAGTATACAGCAGACATAGACTCAAACCGCCATTCAGTTTGTGTAATAATGCTGTCAAACACGAAATTGCACTGTGATCCGAAAACTGTTTCTGCTGTGAGGAGTTGAAAGTCGTCTTCAGTTTCATAAAGTGCCATCCTCTTTACTTTGCGCTTCCTTTTGACTGGAAAATAATCTTTAATTCCATTCTGATTGGCTGTTTCTGCGGCATCTTTGAAAACTTTGCCCACACCAACATCTCTCAAATTCTGAATGAAAGCCTTCAATCCTTTCATTTTTTTTGCTGCGAAGTAAATTGAAACAATTTTATACTGAATCAATTTGTTTTCCCGGTCAATTAATGAAAGAATTTGACACTAAAAATTCCACTAACACAAAAAACTGAAATCAGCTTGAACTTTTCCAAAAAATGTAACCATGAGTGGGGAAACCTCAGCATCATGGACACCAACAAGATTTAAAGTGTGAGCTGCACAAGGAACTAATATTGCTGACTCACAAAAAGAATGGATGTAAGCTTGGAC